AGTTTGGTATATTAAACTCTTAAGTTTCCGAAAAACAATGTTCAAGACAATATCGTGGAAGGTTTCTTTTGTTGTTCTATTTGAAAATAGACCAGTTTTTACCGGGAGATTAACCTTTTTTACCGGGAGATTAACCCCTTCTACCAAGATCAAGAACATCTTCAAACAGAATATTTCAATTTTCTATACTTGTGTTTCTTATTCTTACAGGAATATTTTGATGTAATTAACTTATTTTCATTACCAATGAATTATTAAGTTGAAAAAAAAATGGGACCATCTATCTATCTATACCATACTATAAATAAATGTGAGAATAGAGTGGGATAATAAAATTTTCGATATCATCATCAATGAAATTTAGAATATCTTAAAATAGTCTTAGTCGTAGCCAATTTGAAAATTACATTTTATACTAACGAGTGTTTGGATGAGTGGTTTGACACTTTTTCCCTTTAGATAAGATCAAAGGTTCGATCATCATGGATGAAGCAAATACTCATTGGGAGCACTTTATCCCTTCTTGCGCTGATCCGATGCGAGCATGATTTAGTTCTAACTCATTGAATTCGGGATACCGTGGTTAAGACCAAAAAAAAAAGAAAAAAAAACTACATTTTATTATTTGATTGGATATAATTTCTAAAATTTATTTTTTAAATAAATAAATATAGATAAATAAAAAAGAAAAAAAGTATACTCTTCAATTTCTTGTATAGTTGTAGGAAAAATTGTGGGTTTATTTGGAGAGGATATAACGTTTCATTTATATAATTTTTTTATTACTTAATTAACTTAATTTGCAACTTAGAACAATAGAGAAATAAAATACTTGAATAAACTCATTAACTAACCAATATTTGATCCTATCATGATTTGCTTTGTAATTTTCATTTATTGACTTGTCTTTTTTTTTTTTTTTTTACTATAATTTTTTATTTACTTAATTAAACTTAATTGCAACGTGAGAACAATAGAAAATTAAATAACTTGAAAAACTCATTAACTAACCAATATTTGATTCCTATATGATTTTGCTTTGTAATTCATTTAATAGACTTTGTCTTTTTTTTTTTTTTTGATCCATCAAAATACAAAATATAATTCCAAAATAAGTTCGGAAAACTTTGTCTTTCTAGAAGCATTTTCAGAGTTATTATTGAAAAATGTCCAAAATTTTGGTAAATTTTTTTAGAATATACATTTATTTCTTATTATACGCTGAGTTCTTAGAGTTTTATTCTTAATAAAATTTGTTTTTTTTTTTTAGGTTATTGAATTAATTTTTACACTACTATCACTTTAATTTAAATAAGAGGATTTATTATCTTCTTTGCAATAAATAAATTGGTCTCCTAATTAAAACATTTTTTAATTTTCTTGGTGATATTTTTTCTTTGTATCCTAAATATGTTTAACTTTGAAAGAAAATAGCACTTTAATTTAATAAGAGATTTATATCTTCCTTGCAATAAATAAATGGTCTCCTAATTAAACATTTTTAATTTTCTTGATATTTTTTCTTTTGTATCCTAAATATGTTTAACTTGAAAGAAAATAGTATTTATGAAATTGAAAAAAACTATAACTATATATTTCTGTTTTGGGTTTCAAGAGTTTGTGTGTATGTTCATGTATTTCTTTCTCTAATGCACCGAGTAAGTAATATTATCACTATAGTCAAAATGATTACCATTATTAATTCAGATCATCTTCTCATTTTTTTTTCTTTTACATATCAGTAAAAAATAATTTATTATTATCATTCATTATTGTTGTATATAGATATTGATTTGGGATTGAGGGCAAATGTTAGAGATTCAGGGATAATTTTTTTTTTTTTTGAGCGCCTATCAAGGTTTTAATAATCTGCATTTATAAATAATGGACTGAAGGATAATATATAGGTATTGAATTAAATTTTATTTTGAGACCACTGCATTATATAAAAATAGAATCAAGTATATAAAAAATAGCATTGCAAGTAGTTTATACAACAAAGTTTAATATAAATTAACTAATTGTATATATTTTAATCTAAATAAAAACTTATGTTTTAATATTATATAGATAAAAATTAAAATAATACAAAAAAAAGAAAATATAACTAGTATTATCAACATGCAACACACGTCATAAAAAAGACTAATAATTTTAAATAAACGAAAAAAAAAGCGAATGTATTATTTTTATGGAATGTAAGAAGTGTATAGGGATAATAATTCTCAGGTTCTGTCATTCTTGATTAATTAATTATACTGCTTCTTAGTTTAGTCCATTCCCCTCTAATTTTATAGTTCATATCTTCGACATTTTTACAGTTCAACATATAGATTTTATATAAGAAAAAAAAATCAAAAAAAGGAACTTACCACAATATACTTTTTAACGACAAAAGTTCGAGTCCTGTTTAGTGTGCATAAAGGCATAGGGAATGGAATTGGATTAGGATTAAGTGGTAAATAAAAACAAGAAATAGAGTTCAGATTTTGAAATTTAGGGGAATAGGGATTCTGGAACCCTTATAATTCAATCATGCATCATCATCATCATTATTATTATTATTATTTTAAGTTACTATATATGCCCTAATTTTCTTTTATCATAGGCTCACTCTATGATTCTAATTTTTCATTTTATGCCAACCATTTGCACAGTTTAATTGATTTTCTCACGTATTATAGAAAACGTGAAAAGTGAAATATCTCAAATTTGAGTCATCTTCACTATAAAATTTTTTCACCAATTTGATAAATGTTATTCAAAGAAAGAAATCTTCTGATCTAAAAAAAATTTCATCTTCCAAATAATATCTTTTTTTTTAATTAAAACCTCAAAAAGATTTTTTTAATGAAGTAGCAATTATTTTTTAATTGAAATTTTGAGATGTAATCTTAACATATTTCTCTCATTTATTCTCTCTCTCCCCTTATTTTCCCCTCCCTATCCATTTCTTAAGAGTGTTTTTTAAATTTATTTTAATATGTATTCTAAATATAAATTTATGAAATTCAATTGAATTAAATTTATTATACTAAATATAAAAAATGTATTTCAAATAAAATTATTCACTATCAAGAAAATCCCCAATTAAATTAAAATTCACTTAAATAATAACTAAAAAATTTTAACTGAAATTTATATTAAACATAATTAATTATTTAAAATTTTAATATTGTCCATAACATTTCTTTCCTAACGTATCAAACCTACTAGTATAATTTTATTTTTTAATTGACGTATATAAAATTTGAATTGCATTATCAAATTGGGTAATGGGTCCAATTCAGTAGACGGAGACAAGAAAAGCCACGAAGTCAATCTCCACCAGATTTTTTGAAATCGTACATTTTAAATTTTTAAAAACGCATGACACGTCACTCTCTCCTCTCTATCCCATACATAGTTTCCGCCAATTCATCCCCCTTTCTACGAAAACAAAACAAAGAATTACTATTTCACCCATAAATTTGACAAAAACTATTAAATTGTCCCTATTGTTTAATAAAATTACTCATTCATCTCTGAAAACTATTAATTTTCAAGACAAGTATACCTATAATCTCCATTTGCCATATGCTCCCTGCATAAATTGGCTCACTTCTTTTTTCACATATCACAAATTATATTCTCATTAAGGATTTATTCTTTATTTGCTATAAGCAAACATATTAATTAAGAAATTAATTTTGCGTATTATATATTAGGAAAAAGTTAAACATTATTCGGATTTAACTAAGAAATTAATTTTGCGTATTATATATTAGGAAAAAGTTAAACATTATTCGGATTTAACCATATTAACTATAATTTCTTAAACTTTGTAAAAATCAAACTAGATCTATTATTATTAATTAAATATTAAAGCGAATAAGAAATTAATTTTGCGTATTATATATTAGGAAAAAGTTAAACATTATTCGGATTTAACCATATTAACTATAATTTCTTAAACTCTGTAAAAATCAAACTAGATATATTATTATTAATTAAATATTAAAGCGTACAACTAATTAAAATATTGATTTACATCTTTCTAAATTATAAAAAAAAAAATTTAAGGATATATTTATTTCTTCATATAAAAATAGGTTTGTTTATATTTTTACATGGATAAGAATAAATAATTAATATTATTCTAATGATACATATTTACTTATATGATATACCCCTATATGTCATTTTCAATAAATAACCAAATGGGGTTGATAATAAGTGATATTAAACAGGGCTGCATTATATAATTAATAATACTTTTAAAAAGGAAAGTGATATAATAATTTGACTTAAACGGAAAAAAGAAATTAAGTCTGTGTTTATAGGACAGAGAAAGTACTAAAAAAAAATCAATAATAATTATATTTTAACCATATTAATCATATTTTTTTAATCTATATAAATATAAACTTCGTCTATTTTTATACTATAAAGAGAGTAACGCCAATTCATTTCCTTTTTAAAATTAGGGCACATAAAGTTAAATTTTCTTTTCTTTTGCTCATTTATATTGTAAATTAAGCAAAAAATTTGGGCTAAGGATCAAGGCCACCTCTAACACTCTTCCTCTTAGTCCTTGCATTTCAATTGATATTACATACTTGTTTTTATTAATATTTAGTAAATTATCAATTTATCATCAAAATTTATGTTCGTGGTACTATTTATTCTTAAACCTTACATTTAAAGATTATTATTTTTGTTATTAAATATCCTATAATATTATATTATTAGTTTTTTATATATAATATTATATTATTATTATTTAGTCTATCATATTTGTTCTTTTTATTAGCAATTATTTGTTTAAGTACACGTTTTGAAAGTAAAGACCGAATAGTTTAATACAAGTAAATTTTAAAAATAATTAGTGATTTTGTAAAATAGAGGGAAAAATAATTATTTTTGTCGCTTTTAGGGACTAAATGGTAATTCTCGTAAAAAGAAACCCAACAGTTTTCAAATTAATCATTTAAATGTAACCAGAAAAAAATTAATCATTTAAAGACAAAAACAGTAACACTCACTCAGTCACTCGGACACTCTCTCTGCTCTGTAGAACACCTTACTTGCCTCATTTCTCTCTCTTACTTTTCGTGTTTAGCCTTTGCCACGCTTTCTTTGAAAAAGGAACACAAGAAACAAAACCCTAATAAAGAGAAGCAAGCAATAATCAACAATGCTGCTTTCATTATTGTCTTCGAAACGTTTCTTTTTCTACCTTGGCTAGATCTACTTAACTGTCTACTCTCTGTACGAGAATTTTTTTTTTTTTTTTTTTTTTTTTTTTTTTTTTTTTTTCAGCCCTTTTCCCTGAATAAATTGTTGTTCTTTTTTGTTTTGTTTTTTAGCTTTTGGAATTTTTCTCTTTTTTTTTTTTTTTTTTTTTTTTTTTTTGTTTCAGCCCTTTTCCCTGAATAAATTGTTGTTCTTTTTTGTTTTTGTTTTTAGCTTTTTGAATTTTCTCTTTCTTAAGTCATTTCACACACTACTGCTTGTACTTAGATGATTGAGGGAAAGTTTGGATTCTTGCTAAACAACCTGCATTATGTGCCAGATTCAAGTACGATCTTCGAAATCCAAGAATTAATGCTGTGGGTTTGAGAGCTCTGTTAATTTCTGCGTTTTTGAGATTGTAAGTAGTTATTTAGTTGTCTATTTTTGAATTACACTCTGTTTTTGGTGGTTGAGGTCAGTGGTGTGGAAGATAACATAAAGTTTTAAATTGGGACCCTTTCTTTTTGGTTTACATTGTTTTAATATTAGTGTTAGAGATTGGAAATGACTACTTAACTAAAAGTAATAGCGGTCGTAGTAGTAGTTGCATTGCGTGAAATTTGGAGGTTTCTGGTACTTTTCTTGTTTCTGAACTTTCTCATCAACCCGGTTGACATTTTCTTTGCTTCATTCGCAGAAAGTCTAGCAATTTTTTTTGTATCAAAGGGTCTTTTTTTTTTTTTACTGTTAATATACTTGTTATTTCAACTAACAAAAGCTTGTTTTTGTTTTCTGTTATTTTTTTATTTCTCTTTTGGGGCAATAATTGAATTAGATTTGCTGAGTTGTTGTCTTAATTAAGGATCAATTCACTTAATTCATTGTAACTTTCTAGTTTTTCTTATCTGATAATTGATGCATAGAAAAGAAAAGAAAATGAAACTTTCAATTTTCTTGTTTTGTGGTTGCTGAATCAGGCAACTCGTGCTTGATTTTCAAGCACAAGTTCATTGACTTACAATGGAGGAGCCATTACTGCCATCTGCTGAAGAGCCAGTAGATAAGGTCCAAAGTTCAGAGAAACTGTCCTCTGCTGGTTCAGTGGAAAGCACAAAAAAGGTTATAAAAACTACAAAGCCTACAATATCAGCAACCTCGAAACTCTTAGCGCCAACTGGTTCTATTAGAAAGAGAACTGAATCCAAAAGCAGTTCAGAATCAAGTTCAAATGTGACCAAACCAACTGCACCTGCTTCTTCCCGTAGTTTGAATTCAGTTCCAGTTGCTAGAAGAAATAGCACTGGAGGTGTGCCTGAGAAGTCATCTGCTGCAAAAAGGCAGAGTAATGTGGCTATTGTTGCTGGCAAAAAAATTGGTACTGCATCTGACCCAGTAAGGCGATCTCTTCCAGAGCTCAGAAGAAGTTCCTTGCCTTCAGTTGCTGCAAAACCTGTGACCCGAACTGTTGCTTCAGACGTTAGGAAGTCACTTCCTGCATCACCTCTGGATAAGAGTTTGAGGTCATCAACTGGGTCTGATGTCAGTAGGTCAGAAACTGTCAAGAAAGCTTCAGTTAAGCCAGCATTGCCAGCCTCTTCATCCTCAAAAAGAGTGGCTTCTACTTCACTGGACAGTACCAGCAGTAGTGTGAGTAGGAAGACAGTTTCGAAGGTTTCTTCACCATCAGCTCCCTCACCTTCAGTTTCCAGTGGATTGAGAACTGGGTCTTTGTCAAAGTCTCTTGACAGGAGTTCTAATTTGTCTGGGCAGAGGAAATTGGGAACTCCTAAAAGCCGAGAGTCTAGGTTCATTGTTCTTCCACAGGTGGAGATTAAGGCTAACGATGATGTGGTAAGCATGCTATTGTTTTAATCTTTGAATTCTATTTGTTATTTATAATATCTTTATTTTGGATGTAAGTTATCCAAGGAATGCTTCTGAAATGTTCATTGCAGTCATCTTGTTCCTCCCAATAGAGTTCTGAAATTGAACCATGTGACTTGTCAGGCTGTTCTTTATGTTTTCTTTTGAATTGCTTCTTTTCCATTATGTTTGCTTTTATTTTTATTTATTTTTTATAATCATTTTAGTACTGAAAAATCTTCTTAGGTTATTGCTTCAAATCATTCATTTCAGTGTATTGCAATTCCAAGTTTTTGTTTTCCTTGGTGATAGATGGGATATTTGTACTTATGATAAATCAACTATATTAATCAAATTTCTGTCTCCCCATCTGTAAATCTTGAATGCTGCCCTACTCTACGCTGAAAGAGGAATTTATTAAAGACATATGTCCTAACAATTTCTTACTGTTTGTTGCTGTTTAAGGAATATTTTCTTAAAGTCTTCTTTGTTGGTACTTCATAAATCTTTTGTTATCTTGAGAATTGACAGTCATCTTGAGCTAGAGACTAAAAACAGAAACTAGAGATTGTTAAAAGTTGACTTGGCAAACATCTTGAATGGAAAAATCATTAATCAATTTTCTCCTTCTGGGTTGGATGTTGTAATGTCAAGACAAGTTTAATGAGAAAAAGAAGAGAATTGACAACAAAGGGACCTGTAGAATCATAACATCTAAAAAACTAATAGCCATAGTTATGATTTTTGGATATTGAATCTGATTTGGAGGTTCATCATATATGAAAAGTTATGTTCCATACAGCAACATGATATGCAGAACACTAAAGTACTGCATGCCTATACTGTGCTTTTCAAAGTCTCAAATACACCTGGACCAACCTTGCCAGTTTCTCATTTCTTTTGCCTCCACTTTTGTCTTTTCTGAGCCTTCTATCTCTCCTCATGAGTGCTTTCTTATTGGACCAGAGATTGGATCTTAGGGGTCACAGAGTTAGCAATCTCACTGCTAGTGGGCTGAACTTGTCACCGACTTTAGAGGTAAACATATCTTATGTGATGCTTAAGTGCTTATATATGCTAAACTAGGTAATGAATTATATTTTTTTTTGTCTAATGGTTCCTTACTGATACTCCTGTTTGACAGTTTGTCTATCTGAGAGACAACCTTTTATCCACATTGGAAGGAATTGAAATATTGAAGCGGGTTAAGGTTTGTTCGCCATGCTAAATAATGTTTCCATTATCATTGTCACTCTCGGCAATCTTTCACAAATTAGCAAAGTGTCAAGTGTCTAAATCCCATGCAGTAGGCATATGCTTTATGTTCAGATTTTTGCTTGCAAACGTTTTAGAAATTCATCATCCATATTGTCTTTTCCAGGTCCTTGACTTGAGCTTCAATGAGTTTAAGGGGCCTGGGTTTGAACCTCTTGAGAATTGCAAGGCTCTGCAGGTTTGCTTTACATGTATATTAATCTATTAAGTTCCTCGATATTAGAAACATGCTGTAGCTTGTAATCTTCTATGTAATGAGGTGCTGAAAAGCCTGAAATATTTGTCACTTCCAGCAACTTTATCTTGCTGGTAACCAAATCACGTCACTTATCAGCCTTCCTCAGCTTCCTAACCTGGAGGTAAGTCTTTTTAAGTGGTTTCTGCCTTTGCTGATCAATTATTTTAATCAATAGTTTATCATAACTTCTAAGTGTGCTCTAAATGATTAAGCTTTTATATTTTTGTCTAGTTTCTCTCTGTCGCTCAAAATAAATTGAAGTCGCTTTCAATGGCAAGTCAACCACGGCTGCAGGTCTTTTTATTGTGCTTGTATAGGCTGCTTCATTGAGTTAGGATTAAATTAGCATCTTCATATTTTTTATTTACCATCACCACACCATCTTTCCTTTGCAGGTTTTAGCTGCCAGCAAAAATAAAATAACAACTCTTAAGGGTTTCCCATATCTGCCTGTCCTTGAGGTTAGTTCTATATATTGTGATTCTGCTCTTTTGGATCTGTTATACATTGACTGGTCACTGAACTAGTCTTCTCTTTTCACGCTTTCTGATGTTGACTATAATCAACACAGTGGCTTGTAATACGGCACAAAATGTTTGTCACATTGACCCAAATAATTGTTAGAGTTTGCAAAATTAGTACAGTTGAGTTTGTCTTCTTCTGGCAAAGACACATGATAATGTAGTTAACCACTCGAAATAATCTCACGCTACAATTTGGAAATTATGATGGAAATAGCGGTGTAGCTATTTATGAGTTTGAGTTGAGGTATTTTGATGTGTGAACAAATGTTGTACGGTCTGGATTGTCTTTGTGATCCTAACTTTGCCATTATGGTTTCTGTGTTAATTTGACAACATGCTAAATTCTAATTCCTCGCCTTCAAGTGGTAATTAAGTGCGAGTATGATAATAAGCATTAATGCATATTCATAGGGTATGGCTTTTAGTGCCTAGTGAAGGGTGTAACGATTTGGAAAGTGAAGGAAACTGGTAAAATATATCGTTTTGCATTCAACTATGCATATATATGTGTGTGTATGTGTGTTTATTTTTATATTTTTAAAATATGAATTTATAAGGAATATGATCTGATATCAGTATTTATTGTGCTTGCTGCAGCATTTACGAGTGGAAGAGAATCCTATACTTAAGATGCCCCATTTAGAAGCAGCATCAATTTTGCTTGTTGGTCCTACTCTGAAAAAGTTTAATGATAGAGGTATTATGCAGTCATTTCTTTAAAATAACATTTCACTTTGAGCTTTTGGTCCTTCGGCACCATATTGCGTACTGTATTAGTTGCTCATATATGAACATTCTTGTTTAATTTCTTATTTATTGATTTATTGATATTCTCCACTTTGTAAATTAGGCACTCACTTTGTGAGGTTTCTTTCTCAAAAATATTTCTATAATTTTCTTTGCTGTTTGTTAATGGTGGAAATTTGATAGATCTCTCCCGAGAAGAGGTGGCACTAGCAAAGCGTTATCCAGCTCGCACAGCCTTGTGCATCAGAGATGGTTGGGAGTTTTGTCGTCCTGAGAATGCTGCAGGTGTGTTCTTAGGAAAATGCACTTCCAGCATGCCTGGTTTGAAAACTACACTGATTAACAATTAGTTGTAGCATCTGCAATGCTTATTAACGTTGTGACTGCCCCTGGACCAGTAACCACTGCATATAAATGGTTTATATGAAAATGTTGTATTCTACTTATTAGTGCTTAATTCTTTGGGAAGATAAGGTCGTACTATTCATATGTGCTGTATAATGTACCAGACTGCTTATTGTCATTAGCTGTTGAACATGATGTTTAGTCAAACCACAGTAACCAAAACAGTAGGAACTGTTTGAACAAGAGCAACAATATAAAGTATTTGAACAAGGTGTTGCCTTTATATTGTTAATCGAGTATGAACCTACTACTACACATTTACATGTATTCCCTTCCATATGCGCATATAGTAAGTCGCTAGTGAAACTTGCTTTTTAGCCACCATGCCAAGCCATAACCTAGCGCTCTAGCATCAGTTTTATTGCCACTAACCCACCAACATCACATGTGAAGTGTAACCAAAAAATTTTTGGTTTGAGTTGTAACACTTTGATTGCGTTTTGTAGGTTTATAGGCTAATGATTTATGTTCTATCAGACTCAGTACAGCACAGAGTCCCTGAGTTCATGGCATCTTGAGGATTTTCAACAAGTTTATCATGCCATTGATTTGTTGAATAAGATGAAACAAATACATGTTATTATTTTTTAATCAAGTCAATAATGCTTTGAAAGATATTAGAGTATTACGAGTCGTAAGCACTTGTGGTTACTGATTTACTAATTCTCTGTTATATTCTATCTGATTTTCAATTTGTTTAACAATCGGAGGCTAGAAATGAAATATAATGATGCAAATGTGCATTCTGTTTGGTGGGAGTCTACTTCTCCCATCTACTTTTTCATGTTCAATGTTCCCATGGTTCATATTGGACTTGGATACTTCTCTTTTAGCGTGGAGATGGATTCCAAATTATCAGTAGCATATTGTTCAAGTTGGGATTATGGAATGAAGCATTAAGTCTTCCAATATGTATGGCACTTACAGATTCTATATGAGAGTTCTGAACTTAATACATTGTTTGTTGAACAGAGTCAACTTTATGCTTCCTTTTCGAGCAATGGAAAGATCATTTCCCTCCAGGCTATTTGCTCAAGGATGCCTCTATAGATCAACCTTTTGAAGAAGATGCTTGCTGCTGCCACTTCAATTTTGTGCAGGACAGCACTCTGAGTGTTGATTCACTACTGGTCTTACGATATCAATGGTTTATAGGGGAGAGGACACTTTCACATTTTGTTGCTATTCCTGATGCCACAGGAGAGGTAAATGATTCATGCAGAGATATTGGTTATATTGAACTTTGGAGTAGACATTAATGCAGCCCTTTTATCTTAATACCATGTTGATAGCACTATATGATGGTCAGGTATACTGGCCAAAGCATGAAGACATTGATAAATTTCTAAAAGTGGAATGTACTCCCATGCTGGGAGAGAAAGAATATCCTGCAATTTTTGCCATATCTTCACCTATTTCACGAGGTGTGTTTTTCTTTCATATTCTTATGAATTTTTTGGTTTCATTTAGATGATTTTCTTGTTAATCCATCTTTTAATCTTGTTAAGGATTAGTTGTAAATAGAGTTCTATTAGGAGTTAGATTCTTAATTAGTTTATGATTTGTATTCCTAAATAGCTAGGTAGCATAGGAATTTATGAATTTTTTGTTTCATTAGATGAATTTTTCTTGTTAATCCATCTTGTTAATGTCTTGTAAGGATTAGTTTGTTAAATAGAGTTCTGATTAGGAGTTAGATTTTTAATTAGTTTTATGATTTGTATTTCCTAAATAGCTAGGAGCATAGGGAATTTCCTTATATATAGACCGTATGTAAATAGACCTATGTAATCGATTGATGAGATAAAAGACATACAATTACAATATATTCTCTCAACATGGTATCAGAGCCTTCCATTCAAAAAAAAAAAAGAAAAAAGAGAGAGACGTGCAACCAAGTGAGTTGCATTGTGTTCTTGGCCTTCAGTGGTGTGCTCTGTTTGCCAGAGTTTCCTTTGCTGCATTTCTGAATATCTGTGCTACTGAGCTTCCTCTTTGAGGCATTGATTATGGAAGCTTGAAACAGCCCTGTGAGTTGTTTTCTGGTTCAGTGAGATTTGTTTCGACAACCTATGTGTGTTGTCTCCTGCCTACTATTTGGTTTGGATTCTATATTGCTATAATGAAGTGGGTTACAGTTGCTGAAAGTATGGTATATGTCCTTTGCGGAAAGTAGTAGTTTGTAAACAAGTGAGCATGATTAACAATCTATTGCTCCAACTTGAGGGGGGAGCTGTTACAGGATCAGTTGTAAATTAGAGTTTCTATTGAAGCTTGAAACAGCCCGGTTGAGTTGTTTTCTGTTCAGTGAGATTTGTTTCGGACAACTATGTGTGTTGTCTTAATTCTGCTGCTACTATTTGGTTTTGGGATTCTATAATTGCTATTAATGAAGTGGGTACAGTTCTGAGTATGGTATTGTGCTTTTGCTGAAAAGTAGTAGTTTGTAACAAGTTGAGCATGATTAACATCTAGCTCCAACTTGCAGGGGGAGTGCTTAAGGAATTAGTTGTAAATAGAGTTCTAGTTAGGAGTTAGATTCCTAATTAGTTTATCGATTTGTATTCCTAAATAGCTAGGTTATAGCATAGGATAGATTCCTAATTAGTTTATGATTTGTATTCCTAAATAGCTAGGTAGCATAGGAATTCCTTATATATAGACCTATGTAATTGATTGATGAGATACAAGACATACAATTACAATATATTCTCTCAACAAATCTAAAATGTTCTTATTACTTTTAGCTGGTCAATAATTTGAATTTTTTTGTTATCCATCAACATTGAGGTAGCATGGCATATTTTGCTACAATAAAAGATGCATAAAACTTAAATATTATAGACAGAGACATACATTCAGAGACTTGGGATTGTAGGTTCAACTGTTATTAAGTGGGCTGTGAAATATGACTGAATTTTCTTCAAGTGTCCACAATTTTTAATTATCCAAGTTGGACCATATTGTGTTCTACATTGCTTTTCCATTTGTGAAGGGAGTGGCATTCCAAAAGTTGTAAACCTTGAAGTGCATGGGGATTTAGTGGAAGGAAATATCATCAAAGGCTATGCCAAGGTCGCATGGTGTGGTGGAACTCCAGGAAAAGGTGTTGCCAGGTGAGATGCCATTTTAAATGTTGTAGCATAGATTCACCCATGTGGTTGTGCAGATGTGCATGTGTTGTCTTCCAAGTGTAAAAAATGCAATTTACCTTTATTTTTCCTATTTTCAAGTTGGTTGAGGAGAAGATGGAACAGTAGTCCAGTGGTTGTTGCTGGTGCAGAAGATGAGGAGTATCTGCTAATTTTGGATGACATTAACTCGAGTTTGGTTTTCATGTATACACCAGTCACGGAGGAAGGTGCCAAAGGGGAACCTCAGTATAAATATACTGATTTTGTTAAAGCAGGTTTGTTGGCGGAGTGAAGATTTCCTCTTGTTCTTGACATTTTATTTTCTGTTTTTTATTTGCTTTCCTCCAATTTACCTTTCTTGTTCTAAATTATTTCTCTTTTACTTATTTGCAAAAGGAAAGATTTTAGCTTGTTATTATTATTATTTTAGACAATTTTCCTTGCTAATATGCTCAATCACTGTGAAATGAGGTAGAGTCTTAATGAAATGGCCCCCAAGCTCCCTCCACTATAAATTTTCTCTCAGTTTTATTTTTTTTATTTTTTATTTTTTTTTGTTAAATGCATATATATGTGTGTGTGTATGTTCTACACACATTTTTTGCCTTGATAAAAGAAGAATTGCATTGAATAAAGGAGAAACTGGGTATGAAGGGAGGAAAATATTTCTGCCCAAATGGGGGAAAATGACTAGAAAAGTTATTAAAACAAGAGTGATCTCTGGTCTTGTTGTGTGTCATATAGTCCTTGTAACATACTGTAAACAGGGATGTATTTGTTTAAGTTAGCTACCCACATAATTAAGAAGGTAATACTGTCATATGCTTTTCACCAGCACCTAAAACTGATGAAATAAATTTACAGGACAACAGTAAAAGGAAAATTCAAATAAAGAAAATACAAATTGCTATTGTTCTTGATTGCAGTTTGTATCTGTTGTTCACAACAATTAAATTTTCACAAACTTATACTTAGGCAAATGTATATGCCCAAAACCCTGTGATGTCCAAAGTTAGGAGCAACTGTGCTAAAATCCACTTGCTTAGCTTCCATTTTGGAACACAACTGTGTAGAAAACATGCCTTTGGTGATATTCCAACATATTAAAAATAAAAATGTTGCTCCACTTTGAAGAAGCTAAGCAGTTTTAGTCTACCTTAAATGGAAGGGGACCTTGCCTGGTGCATTAGAATGTTGAATGGAGGTAAATGAGTCATCTTATGGAACAAAAATAATGATGATCACTCTCATTTTCAGCTTGCATATTTGCAACATGGGAAATCCTGTAACCTGTACTTTTAACGCAAAGATAGTAGTTTTAGATCTCTATATATTCATGTGTGTGTATATATAAAAGAACTCTGTTCCTTTTGTTAGTGGCACTTGGATTGTGAAGATTTCTTGCAGTTTCTGTATTATAATTTAATTTGCCAATGGTGATAGCTTATCTGCATACACAATATTAGTGAAATCTTACATTCCTTCATGGTGGAGAATTGCGCTATGTCAAGTTAACAAAGAGTTTTATTTGTTGTGATTTACGACTCTGGTTTGTACAACCTTTTATTTTATTCTAGGTTCAAGATTTGAGCTTCTTTGTTGCTTTCTTTCAGCAAGTTTAGGATCAATTCAAGCTTTGCATTTGTAAGTAGTTTGTGGGAAATGTCTCACTTTGTCAAAAACTAAATCTAAAAAAATGCAGCTTTTTATAAAATGAATATGATAAATTTTCTTCTCTCATATTGCATGAACAATTTGATGTAGATTTTATGTGAAATCTTTTGGCTTCAATGGTAATGTTTAGACTTAGTTCACATTTAATAGAAAAGAGATGATGCTTATGCTCTTCTTCTTTCTTTTACCAATCAGGATAGACATTTCATAGCTATAAATTCAGTTCATTATTTCAATTTTTTTGAACCTAACAGTATGGTATTGGATGCTAAGAGGTCATGTTTCATGGTGGCAGCTCCTCCATCTGTGAGTAATGTTGAAATCATTGGAGATTTTGTCGAAGATAATATCATAAAAGGAGTTGGGGAGTACTTTGGTGGTAAAGAAGGTCCCAGCAAGTTTGAGTGGTTACGTGAGAATAAGGAAACTGGGTTAGTGTGCTCATTTATTTCATGCTCTAATATGCGTGTATTTGGAAAAAGAAATAGACCAACTTGTTCTGTTATGATATTTCTTTAACTCATTCTCTTTAATCATTTGAAGTTAAATCTTCTCTCGCTTTGATGCATATATGATTTTATGGTCGAGGTTTTAAGCTTCTTTGCTGTCTTTTAATCTCGTGTGTCATTTTGCTCATTTCTGCATATGTATGCAATTTTAATTGTCACATTCTTTATATCCAATTATAATCTTGTTGGCTTCTTTGGCAGAGATTTTCTATTGGTATCAACAGGTACATCTGAGTATACACTGACCAAAGAAGATGTGGGACGACGCATAGCTTTTGTTTATATACCCATTAATTTTGAAGGTAATTCCATTATTTTATTTCCTTTGTGGAAATGTAACATTCTTTCTTATTATCTGGCTTTCTCATGGATCATCTTTTGAATTGTAATATATTCCCTGGCATGCTTTGCAGGGCAGGAAGGGGAATCTGTATCAACGGTGTCTCCTGCGGTGAAGCAAGGTAAATGATGATGCTTAGGGTCCATTTTGTTTAGAGGACAGAGGATCAATGGAATGGTTATTCTTCATTTTTGGTGGAATTTGTATTATACAAATTTCTGAAATATCTATTCTGCATAATACTATTACACATTCATTCCAACCAAAGTTGAGATTGTGGAATGACGATTCCAAATGTAAATTTGAACAAAAGTTAAAGATAACGAGTCAACATGGAATCCTATTCTATTTACAAGCTCTTCCATGAAGCAAACAAAACTGTAGGGGATATCATTTTATGATTTTGAAAAAATAATGGTCTTTCCATTTTCATACCTTACTAGAGAAACATTTTATGAAGCAAATCAGTATATCAAAGCATTAAAAAGACCAATGTTATTAATTAATTTATTTGAATTATTAAATCTGATTATGGGAAGAAAAAATAGATATAGTTATGTTAAAAAATTGAAAAAAAAAAAATTAGCATGAGCTAGAAGTTTAGAGAAAGAACAATGTTGTATAAAAAAATGCAATATAGTGTGTATATACGTAGCCCCCAAATGAATTGGCCCATTTTTGGCATTTATATCCTCCAACTTACAGTTGGTGCCTTACTGCCAGGTTTTAGTCATAGCCAATGCATTTTTTCCCCATTTTTGGGGATTACTTCATTGTCTTCAAAGCTTTTGGGATATATGAATTGCATTGGCTCAGACTCGGACCTGGTAGTAAGGCACCAATTGTAAGTTGAGGGCTATAAATGCTGTAATTGGGCCAATTTTTTCCAGGGAAAACACAAAAAACTTTTTAAAACAATTCTCCGAGGCATATTGTAAATTTGAGAAATGAGGAAAAGTAATTTCTAATTTTCCATTTGGAGTTATTTTTCCAACCGAGGAAAAAAAAAAAAATTTGGTTCCCAGTTTTCTCGGAATGATTTTCTGAAAAGTGGCCTTCGCTTTCCACAACTAAACAAGACCTCAACCTCCCTTCTGTCTGGTTTATATTAACAGTGCTGTTTCCACATTCACACAATTGCATCTATTACTTGTGTTTCTAGAAATCCATCCGAGCATACTCTTTATCCTGCACTAAGCCTGTGTACAGGTTGTTTACTGTTTCTTCATTGCCAATATTTGTTGCGTTAAATAATGGTTGGGTTTGGTGGATTTTCTAGACAATGCTCTCTTTATGCAATTCTTGATTATGAAATTACCATGCAAATTAACTCGCTGATATAGAAGTGTTTGCATCGCTATACTAGCATCTATCATGATGATGTGTATTAAGGAATTTTTTACCTTCTCTCTCTTTGCAATCACCTTGTGCTTCCATCATGTTGCTTACCATTATTAACTTCCTCTTCAAATGCTGGCCTTGTATTTGCTCAAATTCCAGCTCCTCCAAAGGTAACAAATGTTAAGATCGTTGGTGATATAAGGGAAAACAATAAGGTTACTGTAACTGGTATAGTTACTGGAGGAGCTGAAGGTTCTAGTAGAGTTCAGTGGTTTAAAACGAGTTCCTCAATATTGGATGGTGAAAATGGCCTTGAAGCTGTCAGTGCATCCAAAATTGCAAAGGTGGGTAATGTTTTGCTAAGCAAATCCAAGCAAGATCATGAATCATCATTTGGCTTTTAAGTATGCTTGAGACAGATTCTTAATTGAGCTATCATCTTTGTTTAGGCATTCCGGATACCACTAGGTGCAGTTGGCTATTACATAGTTGCAAAATATACTCCTATGACTCCAGATGGTGAATCTGGTGAACCAGTATATGTTATATCAGAAAAAGCAGTGGAAAGTAAGTATATCGTTTTCCCTTGCCTTATTATATAGGAAGTTTTTTCTTCTAGTTAGTTTTAATTTAGTTTTGTTTCCTTTCCTTTCAGCTCTTCCCCCAAGCCTAAATTTCTTATCGATTACTGGTGATTACGCCGAAGGTGGAATGCTGACAGCATCATATGGCTATATAGGGGGTCATGAAGGAAAAAGTGTGTATAATTGGTACCTTCATGAGGTATTACTCCCAAGATATTCTGTGCGTTACATGCTAAATTGTACCATTCTGGACTTTTGTTTTTGTCATATTAGATTTATTGCATGGAATTATTCTATGACATTTATATATTTCCTTCACCCCAACCAGCCCATACCAGTGTGCTTAATCGACACACTTATTTGGTATAGTAAACTTTCAATAATAGTTGAATGAAGATAGATTTAGCGGATGTCACTCTTCGTAATTGGATCATTGAGGTTATACCTGTAAAGGAAACAAGTGTGGCAGTCTTGCTTTTCTCTCATGTTATCTTATTTTCACTTTATTTGTAAATTCAACCACTTAAGTGGTAAAAGAAGATGATTTTTGTGATGACACTTGGAAGGATATTTTCATTTAAAATCCTGGTAAGTAACCTAGTGATGTTAAGACCTTGGTGAGAATTCTTTTACCTGTTGCAGTCTTGATAGCAATTGAAGTTCATTCTTACTTAATGTTGCATACAAGTTAATGCAAGTTCATTTAACTTTATTCATATTGAACTACTGGTCTTCATTAGTCAGGTGCTCTTGTAAATTTTACAATTAGGTTTTTCCTATTCAGGAAAATTATCTTCATGTGATATTACTATATATGCTTTACTATCTTAGCTATGTAAGAGTTCCCCCCTCACTTTGTAGTGGGTTTTGGTGCCTACATAAAGTGCCTGAACTGGAAGTGCCATAACGGAACTTGGGCTATTGCTGATTGAACACATAAACTGAGAAATTAATCTTCTGTGTTTTTCTAGAGTTGATTCTAAATAACTCGAATACTTGGTAGCTTACATTTAGGAAAAATGATAGTGTAAGTTCATCATATCGTTTGGATCTTATTCTCATGGAATATGAAAATGTTAGGTTACATAAGACTTCTTGAAAGCTGATGCAATAATTATGTTCTTCCTGTCTGATTATGTTGCCAAGTTGCTGTTTAACTGTTGAAGGTTGCCTTTTTTTCCTTTTCCAGCTTCTTGTTTTACATGTCTCATTTGCGTCTTCTTAAAACATTAAAGTACAAATATCAATGAAGAAGGAAAAACAAATGCAGAAGGTTTTATATGATTAAATAGCAAATGCCAATGCTTTATGTGATTCAGTCAATTAACATACTTCTGTGAGTGAAGGTGATAATTCTTTTATTTCCCAAATGGGCCAAATCAATTATTATCAGCTTTAACATATATGAGCTCATTTTCAGATAGATATATATCTATCTCAACAATTAATCATATCAATTTGAAAAATATAAAATATGATTCACTTTTCCAACGTGAAAATATATGATTAACTCTTCCAACGCTGAATCCATTTCCCCAACATGCCTTATGATCTTTCTTGCAATGTGAAATTCGATCACTTTTTTTTTTTTAATCTCTAGTTGAATGTTTTTATGTTAATATTTAGTTGTCCAATGAATAACTAGTTTTTGTTTTTGTTGTGGTTATATACTTGGGAATATGCATAAGTTGAATTTCATGCTTGCTTCTCATTTTTTCATTTGTTACTTCAAAATGAACTTCACATAGTTAGATCTGTTATCATATTAAACTCTCATTTCTATATTGACGATTCTTTTTCGTTATAGGTATCTTGAAAGGTCTAATATATGTGGCCAATGTACTTTAGTTGCGATATCTTTCCATAGTTCTACTTAGCTTTATGTAGCTTTTTATTTAGAAAGATGTCACATGGCTTCAGTTTTAAGGTTGAAGGTTCTAAACTTTGATAGTATGATCTGGGACCTAATGATCTTCTCTTCCTGTACGTTTGGTATTTGAAGAATGCATAATCAACTCAAACGTCGTTTGAAATTTTCAGGCTGAAACAGACTCTGGTACTTTGATACCTGAGGGTTCAGGTGTCCTCCAGTACCGTGTTACCAGGAAGGCAATTGGTAAATTCGTGTCCTTTCAGTGTGTACCTGTGCGTGATGATGGGATTTTAGGTGAGCCAAGGACTTGCATGGGACAGGAACGAGTTCGACCTGGTAACTTTCTCATCTCAATTTTCGGAATTAATATCTTTCTCTTTTTGTAGGTCAGTGTGCAATTGAGTATTAAAAATGACATTTTGTGATTCCATGGATAAAAGTAGTGAAGTACTTGTCAGTAATTTACACTGTTATGATCATTAACTGAAATTGCTAGCTGATGTGTGCGTCATTAAGTAGTATTTTGAATTTGAATTTATATAATTCCACATCCACGGTTGATGTCATGTTCCAAAAGAATATAACATAGGTATGCAATGCATTCAACTATAACTGAATGTTTTACCAGTCAAATCATAACATGAAAAATTTGTTAACTGGAAATGTTATCCTAGTGCTGTTATCTGCATTCCCCTAAGAAATTTGCATTTAACAATAGATAAGTGGAACAAAAGGACAAAAACGTATTGTTAAATACACATCCAACACCTGTGATTTAGGATCCATTATGCAATGTGTGATGTGGCTGGCATTTTATAACGGAACCCAAAATCTCTTGATAATTTAGATTCTAGTTTAAGATGCAAAAACATGTGGTATTGAATTAATTGCACATTTAATATTTAACTATCGGTTTCTTGGTAATTTGGTAATGGAATATATGTATCACAGACAATCAGCAAGCTTTCTTTATGTTTTCACTTTATAGCGTAGTTCAAATAAATGAATACACCAGTTAAAATGTGATGATAGTTTTAAACGAGTTGTCATGGAATATGCTTCTATGTTGGTGCTTTTTTTATCTGTTACATAACAAATTCAAATTCATTTGTTACGCCAACTGGTTTTTGATGATTAGGAAGTCCAAGGTTGCTGTCTATGCAAATAGTTGGAAATGCTGTTGAGGGAACTACACTTAGTATTGACAAAAAGTATTGGGGAGGTGAAGAAGGAGATTCAGTTTTCCGTTGGTTTCGGGTACTTTAACTATGCATAATTAAAGCTTGAGATGCACTCATCTTGTGAAGGACTGAACAATTTAAATATTACAGTGCCTAGCCCAGCCCAGCAGGCTATACAAAGCATAAGAAAACAAATGTTTCTATTTCTCTGCTTTGCCTATTATTTTATTTTAATCTCTCTCTCCCTCCTCCCCTTCCCCTCTTAGGCACATACTCCTATATGTTAAAGTTGATCATTAGCTGCTGTGATTTGATTCATGAACGTATTGTCATGCAGACTGGTTCTGATGGCTCTCAATGTGAAATTCGTGGTGCTACTGCAGAGTCGTACATACTTTCAATTGATGATATTGGATTCTTTATTTCGGTTTCATGTGAACCTGTCAGAAGCGATTGGGCTCGTGGTCCTATTGTTGTTTCTGAACAGTTTGGACCTATTATAGCTGGTATAGAGTTGATTTCTAATAATTTGCTCTCTCTATCTCTGAAATGTTTTAGACAGTGAAAACCTTGTTAACAGTGAAAATCTCATTATGTACATGATGGTGCTGAAACTATGTTGAAAATCTTATATCATTGCAGGCCCTCCAACTTGTCAGTCTTTAGAGTTTTTGGGGTCGATGATGGAAGGACAGCGCTTGAGCTTCGTTGCTTCTTATAGTGGAGGGTGAGCCATATTTTACAATTTTTCGTATGTAGAATCTTCCGGGCATATTGTTATAACTCATGATACTGAAGCCGCTCTTTTGATTCAGGGAGATAGGAAACTGTTTCCATGAATGGTTTAGAGTGAGAAGTGATGGTGTTAGGGAGAAACTAAGTGCAGATGGTAAGGCTTTTTTTGGTTATATAAGGTATGTTCTTCTGTCCATGTCTTTTGCGAATTAGGTTTAACTGGTTAAATTATTTGCTCAGAATTTCTGGATTTAAGTTTAGAGGATGTTGGAACATGCATTGAACTTGTTTATACTCCAATGCGGAAAGATGGTGCCAAGGGAAATCCTAGAAGCATAAAATCCAATGTGATTGCTCCAGGTGGGTTCTATACCATGGATGAACATATATGCGTGCAGATTAAGACTTGCTATTATGTTTGACCTTATTCTTAATAATGTCTATTGAGAGTTGAGACCCGTGATAATATATCTTTTGGACTTTGCCTCTCCATTAGGCTAGAAGCTTATCTTTGAACCTATTTATTTGATAAACTTGCTTTGTGATAATCATGTTTGCTTGATAATCTAATTGTGTAAAATGACAGGTTTTGTAACTCTCAGAAGGAACATGCTTGTAAACTCTCTAAATTAGTACTGCAAGTCTACTTTGGAATACGTGTGGACATTAAGGGGTTTGGTCGGTTGAGGATATTATGAAAATCAAACAATTCACTACTTGTTGAGTATTGATAGCTAAAGTCGCTAATTTATAACTTATAAAATGAATTAATGCAAGATCCTTTGGAACACCTTTGTTACCATGTTAGTTAACCAGGTGATCTTAAGGTTTCGAGGAATAGGCCAATAATATATGTCAGGCTAATTTCTTTGTAATCTTATGCTACAAAGCCAGCTATAGCATTGTGTTTGCTGAAGATATGGTTCACTGGTTATTTCCCAAAATACTCTATTATTGGATTTCAAAGTGTTGTCTGCTGGAAGTCTGGAGATTTTAGCATCCGATTCTTATTTATTTCAGTAGCCGTTATTTGCTTGGATGGAAGTTTTATGTTTTTATTTTCCACGAGACTCAAATATCTTGATGGATATTATTTTATCATGGATTTTTTCTATTTTTTTCATATTTTCCATTGAACCTTTTGGTGCTTGAAGTGAATCATATTCATAACTTTTACTATTTTGGTTGTTGAGATGTTTAATAGTATATTTGTTTTATAACATAGTTATTACACTAATGCTCCTATTCTGTTCTGTGTTTATATTTTTAAATAGCGGATCCTGTGGCATTAGAACTTGTAATTTCTTATTGCCGTGAGGATGAGGAAGTGGTGCCACAAAAAACGTACTTTGGTGGACGGGAAGGTGATGGGGAGTATATTTGGTACAGAACAAAGAATAAGCTACAAGGAGCTGCATTGATGAATTTACGTGATAGCTATGATGATGTTCTCATATGCAGCAAAACATTGTGAGTTATGGGAAACATTGTGAGTTATGGGATTTAAAATTTCAAAATATTTCTCTCCAGTTTAACATATATCTCCTGAAAATATGTGCTTTTGTGGCAGGTCATATACTCCATCACTTGAAGATGTGGGTTCTTACTTGGCCTTATATTGGCTGCCTACTCGTGCAGATGGCAAATGTGGAAAACCATTAGTTGCAATTTCCAACTCTCCAGTTGACCCAGGTGATATTAGTTCTTATGAATTTCCAACATCCATGTTTTTCTTGGTGCAATAATAAAAGTATATATATTTTTTTTTTGACTAAAGGGTCATGATTTGTGTAATTTTAGTGTGAAGAAAATATTCTCTATATCCTTTTTTCATCAATAGGGACACATATATATACATATACAGGTTACTATAAACCTATTAGGAATCAAACTCCTATTAGAACTATATTTACAACTAATCCTTAACACTCCCCCTCAAGTTGGAACTAATCCATTAAACACTCCCCCCTCAAGGTTGGGCCACTAGATTGTTAATTCTATGCCCCAATTTGCTACAAGATAGTTAACCCGAGCGCCATCTTAAAGCTTTATAAAGATCATCTTTCTAACTGTTTACTTGCTTAACGTCGCCCTGCTAAGAGATAACACCCTGTTTGGTATCTTTTCACCGAATGAATATAATCAAATCTCGCATATGCTTTTCGTTTTCGATATGTTTTGTTTGTTCATGGAATACTGGATTTGATGCAATGTGAAGAGCAGCTTGATTATCACACCATAACTTTGCAGGCAAGGATGACTTGAAGTCAATTTCCTCTAAAAACTGACGAATCCAAGTTATGTCACAAGCAGATTGTGCCATAGCTCGATATTTTAATTCAGCACTCGACCGTGAGACTACATTTTGTTTCTTGCTCATCCACGATATCAAGTTTCCACCCACAAAGACACAATATCTTGAAGTCGATCTTCTATCAACCTTCGAACTTGCCCAATCAGCATCTGAAAAACACTCAATGTTCAAATGCCCATGATTACTATAAAGGAGGCCACGTCCTGGATTACCTTTCAAGTAGCACAAAATTTGTCCTAAAGCTTCCCAATGGATAACAGTAGGAGAAGAAGCACAAAGTTTGTCCTAAAGCTTCCCAATAGATAACAGGAGGAGAAGACATAAACTGGCTTAACACGCTCATAGATTAAGTAATATCTGGACGTGTTACCGTAAGATAACTCAGTTTGCCCACCAATCTTCTATACATCTTCGGATCATCAAATAGTTCACCACCAATTGAAAGTTGCAAATTGGGAGTCATTGGAGCACTGCATGGCTTGGCACCCAACTTTCCCGTTTCCTTCAGTACGTCAAGGACATACTTCCTTTGAGATAAGAAGATGTCTCTCTTACACCTAGACACTTCAATACCCAAAAAATACTTCAACAATCCTAAGTCTTTTGTCTTCCTAAGTCTTTTGTCTCGGACTGAGTCTGGAGGGAATGATTTGCAGTGAGTAATGCCTCGCCTGAATCACTCCCTGTAATAACAATGTCATCAACATAAACCCACAAGTAGAATGAAACCCAGTCTTAGTACTTCTGAAAAATACAGAATTCGATCCACAAGTACTCTTCTGCCCATGCCAAATTGGTTGTACCACATTGCAAAAAATCTACCAAACAAGCTGCGGACTCTGTTTTAGGCCATAAAGACGATTTTCGAAGTTTACACCACTTTACCCGACTCCCCTGAGCAACAAAAAGCCTGGCTGGTTGCCCTCCATGTAAACTTCCTCCTGAATGGATCCCCAGAAGAAAGCCATTCTTAACATTCAGCTGAAGGGACTGTAAACGCCAGTCAAACAGTAGCTGGCTAAGAAAAAAACAACGAACATGAAGACAATTTGGCTTACAGGAGAAAAAGTATCAGGAGTAATTCAAGCGTCACTAAAACCTGCACGAATAGACCTTTGCAACAAAAAAAACAAAAAAAAAAACTAATTCGCAGCCTTGAGACTAGCAAACAGATCCATCAGGATTTCCATCCTTTAATTTGTGAAAAACCCATTTCCACAACCTGTAGGATTAGAATTTAATCGTGAGGAAAATATTTTTCTATCATATGATTCAATTCAATAGGGACACATACTATATACACATACAAGATACTCATAATAACCTATTTTAGAATCTAACTCCTTAATAGACGTTCCTATTTACAACTAATAGAGTTCTATTTACAACTAATCCTTAACACTCCCCCTCAAGTTGGATCATAGATATTAATCATGCCTAACTTGTTACAAAGATAGTCAACTCGGGGTCCATTTAGAGCTTTTGTAAAGATATCCCCTAACTGTTCACTTGTTTTAACGTGTCCTGTAGAGATAACACCCTATTGTATCTTTTCATGAATGAAATGACAATCAATCTAGATATGTTTTGTTCGTTCATGGAATACTGGATTTGATGCAATGTGAAGAGCAACTTGATTATCGCACCATAACTTTGCAGGCAAGGATGACTTGAAGCCAATTTCCTCTAACAACTGACGAATCCAAATTAATTCACAAGCAGATTGTGCCATAGCTCGCCAGCACTCGATCATGAGACAACATTTTGTTTCTTGCTCGTCCATGATATCAAGTTTCCACCTACAAAGACACAATATCCTGAAGTTGATCTTCTATCAACCTTCGAACCTGCCCAATCCGAAGTTGATCTTTCTATCAACCTTCGACACCTGCCCAATCCCGCATCTGAAAAACATCAAATGCTTCAAATGCCTATGATTACGTCAAAAGCAGGCCACGAACCATGGATTCAACCTTTCAAATAGCACCAAAATCTTGTCCTAAACGGCTTCCCAATGGATAACAGCTTCAGGAGAACGACATAACACCTGGCTCAAAGACGCTCACAGGAGCTAAGCAATATCTGGACGTCGCTTACCCGGTAAGAATAATTCACATTTGCCCACTAACCTTCTATACACTCTCAGATCATCAAATAGCTCACCACCACATTGGTAAAAGTTGCATATTGGAGTCATTGGAGCCACTGCCATGCGCTTGCGCCACCAACTTCTCCAGTTTCCTTCAGGTAAGTCAGGACCATCTACTTCCTTTGAGGATAAGAAGAGGCTCTCTTACACCTAGATACTTCAATACCCAAAAAATAACTTCACAGTCTCCTAAGTCTTTTGTCTTAGCGAAAACTGGGTCTGGAGGAAATGATTTGAGTGATTGCTAATGCCGGCCTGACATCACTCCCTGTTAATAACAATGTCATCTTCCAACAAATAAACCCACAACGCATAGAATCAAACCAGTCTTAATTACTTCTGAAAAATACAGACATGATCCAGACAGTACTCTTCTGCATGCCAAATTGACTGTACCACATTGCAAAATCTACCAAACTGTTAAGCGATTAGTTGTCACAAATAGAAGTTCTATTAGCGAGGTTTTAGACATTCCTAACATTAGTTTTATGATTTGTTTCCTTACAATAGGCCTAGGTGCATAGGAATTCCTTAATATATAGACCTATGTAATCGATTTGATGAGATTAACAAGAAAAATTACCAATTACCAATATAATCTCTCAACATCGCGTATCAGCAGCCTTCCATCTCAAAAAAAAAAAAAAAAAAAAAAAAAAAAAAGGAAATTTCCCAAAAACTTCCCTTATGAGAAGCCACCTTGCCACCCTAGGCAATATGTTCTCCAGCCGCCATCATCAGCGACTCCCGAGAATCCGGTCGCCGGATTCCAAGCCGATTGGCCACCCACTCGCCCACCTCTTTCTTCACTTGGCTCTCGCGTTCCACGCGCTGCGCCGCATGTCCAAATGGTGCTTCTTTTCACTCCAGTTCTCCTCTCTCCCGACGTTGGCTTGAAAGAGAGACGTGCAACCCAGTGAGTTGCATCGTCATTCCTTGCGGCTTATTCAATCAGGTTGTTGCTGCGATTCTATTGCAGTTGTGTCGGGCAGGTCCTCTGCTAATGTTGTTGCCTTCTAATTTGCTCGAGCGAAACATATTTTCCTTTCTGCTTGACAATTAGGTAACTTTTCGGTCGAATTTTCTAGTGATTCCTTTTTTGGCATTAGGGTTTAGTATTGCCACCATCTGCTCCAGGCTTACAGGTATTCTCGCTTTTACCCCCCTTCGAACCTTCCTCCTTTCGTCCAACGAGTTAGTGCAAACACCCCAGTAGTCCCCTGCATTGTTTCGGGCCTTCAGTGGTGTGCCTGTTTGCCAGATCCTTACTGCCTGCTTTCAACCGTTTCTGAATATCTGCGCCTACTGGGCCTTCCTCTTGAGGCATTGATTACTGCGAAGCTTCGAAACAGCCCTGTGAGCTTGTTTTCTGTTCAGTGAGATTTGTTCCGACAACCTAAGTGTGTGTCCAATTCTCGCTACTACTATTTGCGTCTTGGGATCTCTATCATTTGCCTACTAATGAAGTGGCGTACAAGTTAGCTGAGTAATGGTATCTGTGCTCTTGCCCTGAAAGTAGTTAAGTTTGTAAAACCAAGTTAGAGCATGATTAATATCTCATGCTCCAACTTAGCAGGGAGCCTGGTTAAGGATATTGTAAATAAGAAGTTCTATTAGGAGTTAGATTCCTAATTAGTTTTTGATTTGTATTCCTAAATAGCTAACGGTACATAGGAATTCCTTATATATAGACCCTATGTAAACTCGACTTGCATGAGATACCAAGAAATACAATTACAATATAATCTCTCAACAAACCAAAGCCGAGGACTCTGTTTTAGGCCACTGAAAGAGCATTTTATCTGAAGTTTTCACACCCACTTTACCCGACCTCCCCCTGAGCAACAAAGCTGGGTGGCTGCCTCCATGTCAAACTCTCCTCCTGAAGATCCCCATGAACGAAAGGCCATTTTAATGTCCAGCTGATGTTCTAAACGGCCAGCCCCAAAAAGTAGCTTGCTAATGAAATAAATAAAACGAACAGAAGCACCAATTTCGGCAACAGCAGAGAAAAGTATCAGAACCTAATCAAGGCATAGATCCTGAGAATAGCCCTTTGCAACTACATCGGAGCCTTGAGACGCAAGGCCCAACCAGTCCCATCAGGATTCACTCTTAACGCGGTTCGTAAAACCCACTTACAACCCAATTAGCTTCTCTTACCTTGCCGGCGAGACGGCCACAGATCCCAAGTACCCATTCAGTGATCTTAACAGGCAGCCATCCTCC